AGAATTGGGGCTCCTGGAGTGCTGGGGCTCATACACCCCTGGAAGCCCCTCTCAACTGGGGACGCTGGGTGACATCCCATGGGGCGGGTGGTCCCAGCTGCCCAGGCCCCAGGGAGACAGCCCCGCTGAAAAGACGGAGGTGAGCGTGACCAAATACAGGGCCTGTGCCAGGCTCGTCCCCACGAGAACCCAGAGACCCAGGAATGCAAAATTGTAGCTTTATTTTCTAAAACTGAGTCTATCTTTGCTCATCTTCCTGCCACATCCATTCCTGCCTTGTGGTCTGTCCTTCAGGCACTTTCAGTTTAAAACAACTCTCTTTCCAGGAAAGCTCAGCGCCTCGCACGCTCCACCTCTCATCTCTTCTCTTCTCCCTGTAGCAGGAGGGCGTCTGGCTGCTGGGCGGATCTATGTCCCTGCTGGGCCCCTCTGAGATCCCGCACCCGGGCCTGGGTACCAGCCTTCTCCCCAGCTGCATCCGGCACCACATCCTCAGCCCAGTCTCAGGCCCCTTGGGATTTCTCACTGTCCCTGCCTGGGTCTGGGACGTGTAGGGTTTTGTGAATATGTCGTGGCCAACCCGCCTGGCATCTCAGGCACCATTTCCTTGTTGTTTTAGAAGAGGGGTTTCTCTGAGAGTTGTGTGCTCTTTCTGGGCTGCATCCGGGAAAGTGAGGTGTCTTTTCCCCTACTCTCAGATCCCCACACCAACTAGTAGTTTCTGTAACTCCCCATCCTGGGGCTTGGGCTGCAGGTGTGGGGCTGGGCTCTGGGTCCTTACTCAGGGAGGGTTAGTCAGGGTTCTCCAAAGAAACAGAGCCAGTTGGCTGTGTACGTTTGTATATGTAGACACACACGCACACACACATATATAATATAAACCGAGTGTTTGTGTCCCCCCCCTCAAGGTTCATATGTTGAAACCTCACCCCCAGTGTGACGGTGTTAGGAGGTGGGGCCTTTGGGAGGTGATTAGGTCATGAGGGCGGGGCCCTTGTGAATGCAATCGGTGCTCTTATAAAATGCGCCAGGGAGACCCCTTGCTCCTTCTGCCATGTGAGGACAGAGTAAAAAGATGGTTTTCTGTGAACCAGGAAGTGGGTCCTTATCAGACACTGAACCTGACAGCACCTTGATCTTGGGCTTCTAGCCTCCAGAACTGTGAGAAATAAGTGTCTGTTGTTTAAATATGCTTATACGTATATATGGATATGTATGTCTATAGAGAAAGAGATACTTTAAGGAAATGGCTCACATGTGTAGGAAGGCTGGCAAGCCCAAAATCTGCAGGGCAGGTGGGGGACCCAGAGAAGGAGTGAGGCCACCGTCTTGAGTCTGAGTGCAGACTGCAGGCAGAGCTGCTTCTTCCTCAGAGGGTCTGTCTTTTCTCTTAAGATCTTCAGCTGGCTGGATGAGGCCCACCCACATTATGGAGAATAATCTGCTTTACTCAAAGTCTACTTATTTAAATGCTAATCTCCTTTAAAAAGTACCTTCACAGCAACACCCAGAGTGATGTTGGACCAAGTATGTGGGTGCTGTGGCCTGACCAACAGCATAAAACAGCATTTATTTTGATGCATAAAATTAACAACCACAGAGACTCTCAGGTGTCTATGCTCCATTTCTCCAATTCCGTCTCCTGCTGAAATTCTCATGTTCTTTGAACCTGTTCTTTCCTCACCTCGCCGTCTTCTCCATGCTGTAGTTCCTGAGATAAAATTTATTTCCTGAGTTCACAAATGCTCACAGCATTTGGAGCTCAGCAAATCTCCTGTCTCAGAGCCCACTTCTATCGCAAGAGCCTTTCTTTCAAGACCATTGTTCGACCTTGAAATTCAGAGCTGGCTGAAAGCGCCTTATTTTTAGGCCACATTTACCGCAGGGAAGACTACGATGGGCAAATGTTGAGGAATGACAGCAACTGATGACTACAGGGGTCTTTTTTAGAAATTCATAACAATCCTCAGGGCACAGACGCCCACTGTTAGCACAGGCACAGGCTGTCAGCAGGGCCACAGCTGTACTAGTGAGCGTCAGCTCAGTGACGACCCCAGGGAAAGGGAAACTCACAGAGAAGGAGAGGCAATCTCACCTTAAAAATGGCAACTCCTGTGTGGGTTGCTTTTGGATCTAAGGAACAGAAAAGCCATATGAAATCGGCTTCAACAACGAGGCGTTTCATTGTCGGGCTGGTTGCTTCAGTGGACACGTTCCTTCCAGCTCTGGCTGTGCCATCCTCAGCTCTCTCATAGTCACAAAAAGGCCACAGCAGCTCCAGGCATCAAGCCACTACTTGACCACATCTATTGGCAGCAAAGGACCAAGATTATGGAATTTCTTTCTTAGGAGCACAGACTTTTCATTCTGTGATGCTCTGGTCAGAACTTACTCACCAGCCCACTCCTTAAATGATCATTTTTAGACAAGAGGATCCTATGACCGGCTTGTATAAATCAGAATACATCCCTGGAGTTGGAAAAGGTTAACTTTCCAAGTCCTTTGAGGATGGGGCAGATACTTGCACAAAACTGGAGCCCTTTCAGCAAGGAAGAAGGCGGCCAGGGGATGCTGCTCTGACCACCTGTGGGATCTGCTCCACTCCTGTTAAACCCTGTGCTCATCGCAGGACAGAGGACATGCGCAGCCTTGTGCGGCTGATGTCTTGACGTGGATGAGAAGGCGTGGGAGAAAGATTAGCAGCTACTGGAGGAGAAGAGAGAAAAGGAGCATGTCAGATGCAGGGTGGTGTGCTGAGGAGGATGGGAGGGTGGGAAGCCCAATGTGGGGACCATCCTAGTTCAAGGGCACCAAAATCCCAGCAACTTGACACTGTGCTGGGGACACTCCCTTTTCTGTTTTTAGTTACAAAGTTATATATGCTTGTGGGAAAAAAGCCAATCAATACAGAAATGTACAATGTATAAAACACAAGTCCTCTGTGTGAATGTAGCAAATGAAGGGACTCGGTGTGCTCCTGCGCATGCTTGTGGTTTCAACACAGCTCTTCCAGGGGGCCGGCCCGGTGGCACAGTGGTCAGTTCACATGTTCTGCTTCAGCGGCCTGGGATTCACCAGTTCAGATCCCAGACACAGACCTATGCACTACTTCGCAAGCCATGCTGTGGCAGGTGTCCCACATATAAAGTAGAGGAAGATGGGCACGGATGTTAGCTCAGGGCCAGACTTCCTCAGCAAAAAGAGGAGGACTGACAGCAGATATTAGCTCAGGGCCAATCTTCCTCAAAAAAATCATTCAATCAATACAGCTCTTCCAGATTTGTCTACACATGTACCAATAAGTGCATATGTCTATTTAAAAATAAGTGATCCTATTTACACCTTCAACAACTTGCCTAATGTCTGATAGAATAATATTCCGTTGGAAATTCTTTACATTTTCCAAGCATGAGGAATTAAGCTCCAGGAGGCCCTTCCAGGTGGCGAGAGGAGGCAGACCAGGGCTGACCAAGGAGACTCTGCAGTGATGGACGTGTCCTGTTTTGTGTTGTCTCCATGTCTGGCTGTCTAGCCCTTAAAATGCCACTAGTGCAGCTGGAACTGAATTGTTCATGGTCATTCATTTGAACTTGAATTTCAGCAGCCACGTGTAGCTGGTGGCTCCTGTGTCAGTCAGTGCAGGCTGAACGAAAGGAATGCATTGGTGATCCCTGTGGCCTGAGAGTGGCTTTCTGCAGAGACAGTCCTGTGCTTTGTCCCTACGCGTGTGGGAGAAGTGGGACCACCTCCGTGCAGGCCTGGGGGATCCGCTCTCGTGCTGCACCTGATGTGTGTGTGTGTGGGGGGGTGGGGTGGGTAGCTGGGTGAGCGTTTGGAGGCGTTCGGCTCAGAGACCATGCAGGATTTGGGGGTCCTGCACTGTTGTAGCTGTTTGGCTTTGGGTTTCCCAATAGAATTCTGACTTTAAATGTTTGGGTCTTTGTCCCCCTGCCTACACTTTCACGTCTCATGTCTGGATTTTGGGGCTCAGAACATGCCTCTGGCACTGCCTCGCTCTACTCCCACCCTTGGAACTGGGGTTTGTCCGGGTCACAGGCACTGGGAGGTGGGGGCGGGAAGCACGTTTGTCCGGCCCCATTTCTTTCCCCTCATGCTTCGGTGGCTGTTGTCTTTGTAGTTTACACCAGCCATTGGTCTCCCGGTGTGGACTTTTCTTTGGTGTCTCGTAGTTTATTCAATTAGAAAGAATTTGTGGCAAGTCTGGGTTTGGCACCCAGTGCCCTGAGTCCCCTCGCTTTCCAGGAGGAGCTGCAGGGGCCTGCGGGTGTCGTCGTTTTCTTCAGGGCACGATATTAAACTGTTCTTCTCCAGGCTGCTTTTGGAGGGGGCGTGAAGGATGTGCAAAGGGCAGATGTTATGCTCTACTTTTGTGACCTTCCTTGTTTATTATTTGTGTTGATTTTGATATTCCCGCATCTGGAAAAGAATTTTTTTCACAATGCAGAATAACAGGTAAAGCGTGGTGACTTTTTTCTTGACTAGTTTTTGTACGTGGTTAGAGTATCTTTCCACAGTTCTGGAGTGGCCTCTGAACACCGTCTTCTGCTTCACGCATCCTCGCAGGAGCTGTTTGATGGAGCCTCACAGCCGAGGGGATGGCCGGCCCAGGGGTGCAGCTGGGCGTCAGGCGGTGACAGCTGGACGTCGCATCCGCTCTCCCTGAGACTCCAGGGACTGAGGTCCTTAAACCACTGCAACCAGCTCAGCTGCATGAACCTTTCAAAACATGGCTTAGTTCAATCCCCTTGTTCATACAAACCTACAGAATGGCTTAAACAAGCAAACACAACTGATTCTGCCCCAAGCTGGGGGGAGGCGCGGGGACTGGAGCCCCAGGCGTTGCTGGTGGGAATATAAAATGGTGTGGCCACCTTGGCAGGCAGCTTGGCAGTTTCTTAGGAAGTTAAACATACCCCTCCCGTGTGATCCAGGCATTCCACTTTTAGGTATTTACCCAAGAGAAGTGACAACTGTATGCGAATGTTTATAGTGGCTTTATTAACAATTGCCCCAAACCGGAAACAGCCCGAATGTGTGGGTGTGGATAAATACACTGTGGTGGGTCCACACCACAGGCTGACCCAGCAACAGGAAGGAACAGAGCAGCGACAGACGCAACAGCAGGGACCAGGTTCCTCTGCGCTCTGCGGAGTGAAGGCACCTGGGAGCCAGGAGCTGCAGGCGGCCGATGCCGCTGTGCGACACCCTGGAAGAGGCACAACTTCAGCGGCAGAACCCAGGCCAGGGGACACCGTCTGCGCCTGGGGACAGAGTCTGATCACGCGGTGGCACAAGCAGAGCTTCGGGGCCATGGAGGCGTTCTGGATCTCCACGGCGGTGGTGGTCACGCGACGACGACGGTGCCCGTGAGAACTCACAGACCTGGGCACCAGAACGGCGCGAGCTTTTCCTGCGTATAAATTCACCTGATTCTCTCAATTCACCTGAATAAAGACAGACAAAATCCCCAGTCAACAGATCCAAAGGATCAACTGCAAGTCAATACAGCGTAACCATTCGCTGCAGTAGAAAAGGAGGACATAAATGCTAGATAGGAAAGCGTGAAAAGTTCGTAACTGTTCTAGGAGGGAAGAAAACTGTTCACAATTACTTGTTGATCATTCAGAAACGAAAAATTAAATCTCGTCTTAGACGTCAGAAGCCCCAAGTTGAAGTATGAATCCCACTGCTGACTACGTGGCTGTGTCCTTAAGAACGCCCAAGTCCACGCAATGGCCATTTCTTCATCTGTGAAGCAATGGTCAACCCTGCCGGCCGCCTTCACGGGCGGGTCCTGCCCATCATTTAAACGCGAGGATTTCCTTTAGGGCCTGCTCTGAGATGCACCGTTAGTTAACTTAACTTATGGTTTAATTTGTTTCTTTACTCTGATGAGTAATGCGTGTTCATGGCAAAACCATAAAACTTCAAATGCCACCGAAAGACATAAAGGAAAAAGGAAAAGTTCCCTCAGCCTCAAGAAAAAAAATCCCTGGTCAAGCCAGCGGGCTCCTTTCCTTTCCAGCTTGACTGATCTGCTCTCTGTGGCCTCAGCACCCACGTCTGGCTGCTGTTGCTCCCAGCCTGCCCTGACGACCTGAGGCTCGGCTCTGCCTCCCGCCCTGCTTCAGGAGGGGCAGTTGCCTCTCTCTCCTCCCTCCCAGCGCTCTGCGTGTGCTTCTGTAACAATGGCAGGGCCCGGAGCTGACCCCCAGGCTCTGCCGGAAAGGCCTCACATTCACCTATTCGCTCAGTCCTTATGACAACCCTCTACAGTTGGCACCACTGTTGTCCCCACTTTATAGGCGAGGAAACCGAGGCACTTGCCAACGCCCCTCTGCTGGCCTTGGACGCCTGTCCTTCTCCCTCCAGGGGTTCCTGCCCTCGCCTGGGGTGCTGGGCACTGCTCGCCCTCCAGACTCTGTAGGACTCACGCCCTTGTCAGACTGTGGCCCTGCAGGTACTGCAAGAGCCAGGGAGGCAGGTCTGGTGCTTGTCTCTCCTCCAATTCCTCTCGGGGAAGGCGCTTTTCAGCTTTGTGTTCGTGCCTGGCGCACACTAGGCGCTCCGTAGGTGTCGGTGGAGCAAGTGTGTCCGTCAGTCAAGAAGTAGAGTTTGTGCCTATCCAAAGGCATTGAAGCCAGGATCCTGAAGAGCTGCCTGCACCCCCGTGTTCACTGCAGCGTTGTTCACTATAGCTGAGGCGCAGAAACACCCCGAGCGTCCATCAGTGGAGGAACGGACAAAGGCGATGCCGTGTGTGTATATATATATATATATATATATGTATATCTCCAGCCATGAGAGACAAGGACATCCTGCCATTTGTGATGACACGGATGGACCTTGAGGATATTATGCAAAGTTAAATAGTCAGACTGAGAAAGACAAACACTGTATGATCTCACTTAGATGAGAAACCTGGAATAGTCAAACTCATAGAAACAGAGAGCAGGATGGCAGTTGCCAAGGCTGGGGAGAGGGAGCAAGGGGGAGCATTAGTCAAAGGATATGAAGTTTCCGTCGTGCGGGATGACTAAGTCCTGCAGAGCTCTGGCGCAGCACAGGGCCTGCAGTCCACAGCACTGGACTGTGAGGTGAGGTTTGCGAAAAGGGCAGGCCCTTCTATTAAGTGTTCTTACCACACACACAATAATAGTAACAATAATTAACAATAATAATTAACAATAAAGGGGTGGGTGGGCGGAAAGTCTGGGAAGTGATAAATGTGTTTGTGGCCTTGATGGTGGTGATGGTTTCACGGGTATATACTTACCTCCATGCGGTGGTTTTAAAAAAATGAACAGGCGATAAGAGCACCTGCACCTCCTGTGACCCCTCTGTGTGACGGTGTGGAAGGGCATGGGTCATGCTCTCGACTGTGCCCACCACTCTGCGGGATCCCCCATCCCAGTCTCACCTCTGTTGTTACAACACTTCATGTGGTTGCTGTGAGAGTCAGAGTGAGCGTCCATCGAGCACTGGTTGAGTCTCATCAAGGAAACGCCAAAATTCTCCGGCTACAGCCAGGCTCAGCTTCAAAAACACTCTTTCTTTCTTTACTTGTTCGGTTTGGAAAATCCGGGGCTGTGAGTAACCTCGGTCTCTGCCTTTGCCTGTGATGCAAGCTTGTTCAGTCCCGCCTGAGACCACATCCTTCCTGCCCCTGCTCTGCCATGACCACTATAAATTCATCAAGTTTCCTCCTGGGCTGTTCCTGAGGCCGCATGTGGGTGAGTCCAGCTCCATGGAGGGGGATGACGGAGAAAGCATGGGGGTGTAGAGGGCCAGACTCGCCTTGGTTAATGGACTTGGGATTTCTTTTGCCAGCCTCCAAGTCTGTCCTTCAACAAGGATTCTGGAATGTTCTTTTATGTTTATCATTTGGGCTCTGTGTGTGCAAGTGCGTGTGTGCGTAGGGGGCAAGGACAGGGGCAGCAACCATGGCTTACACCCATGACTCCAGCATTCCAGCAGGGAGTGGATGGGTGGGACATGTATGAGAAAACGAGTGTCCTCAGAAACCAAGGCCCAGAGTGGGTAAAGGGCAGGGCAGAGTGCACCATGGCTAAGGGCAGGGGAACACCAGAGGCAGAGTCCTGATGTGATGGGGAGACGGATGGAGCAGGACCTGAGAGGGCCTGCAGAGCGGTGGATCTGCCTGGAGACCCTCACACCCCGTCAAACACATAAGGGGGTGGACTTGGGGTGCATGAGGCCAGGAGCAGAGCGGTAAGAACGGAGATAGAAGAAGGAGAGATGAGCACGTTGGAGATGTCTCAAACATCAGACCATGGCCGTTACAATTTTCAGTTTGTTCCACTGCTTCACAGTGCCGCTCCCTGCCGTTACATCATTTACGGCTTTGGCTGATGTTGTGCCTTTCAGTAATATGAAGGGCTCAATCCCAAACAAAGCCAATGTGTTCATCCACCCGAAATTAGGAGTTGTGGAGGATTGAAAGACACGGCAGCTGACTTCTAGTCTTCCTGGAACTTGAAGTCTAGTTAGGAAAGCTGAGTAGGGGACCCTACAATGAAAAGCTGTGTGTGATAAATGCTTCCCTTTTAACCAGCTATTTTATTGTCTTTGATCGTCTTGGTTCCTATCTGTCTGAGATACATAGTTAAGTGGTGCAAGAAACTGTCTCCCACCTTCTCAGGCTGTGAAAAGCGCAGTGTCAGTGGCATGAGCTCAGAAGTGGGTGACCCCAGCCTAAATCCTGGCTTCGTCCCTCCCTGGCTGCAAAACTCTGGGCGAGCTGCTGAGCCTCTCTAAGACAGTCTCTACTTCCATAAAGCAGGGCCAGGAATAGATACACCTCGGGGGGCTTTGAGCACTTAGATGGGAGAAAGCGTCAGAGTGGCATCAGCCTATGAGAAGCTCTCAGTATGTGTGAGTTCTAATAATTGTCATAGTTACAAATTTTACAAGGAGACATTAAAGTGAGGTGTGTGTTCGCTGTTCCCCCCACGCAACCCAACCTCCCTCTCAGTTCAGTTTCCATCAGTCAGTGGATTGAGAGAAGGGCGGTTGCAGACCACCCTGTCCTCCGCCCGCCCTGTGCTCTCCCTTCCCTCTCTCTAGCCATGCGCTGCTCTGCCATCGCCGCAGTCAGTCATTCCCTGGCCGCCTTCTTCTGTCGCTCACTGGTCTTTCCTCGGGTCAAAACAGAAACAAGGAACCAGAGTCTTTCACTTGGAAGGAACGTAGAAGCCATCTTCCCCACTGTGTCATTTCACGGATGAGGAAGCTGAAGTCAAGGGACAGTGAAGAGCTTGTCGTGGGTCATAGCCCAGTAATCAGTGGGACCAAGTTCCCCCGGCGATATGTCAAGGAGGTACCATGAAGCAGTGTGGGCCTCCATCACGCTGTTAATGCGGCTGAGTTTGTGGGTTTAATTATTGTTTCCCTCCACAGGAAGCCTTTCTTCCATGGCTCAGGACACAGTCCCATGCGGAGCTAACAGCAAAGTTTCTGGTAAGTATTTGACTCACTTTTCAAAACTAAAGATGGCTACTTGTTACAGCCCAGAGATACTTTTTCCTTGCAATCTTTGGGGGTTTTGATAGCTTAGTTCCCTCTGAGGGTGGCTTTGAAAAAGACTGTCCTTACCTATATGCTGTTTTCACCGTCCAACTTCTCAGCGTGGACGTATGCCCAAGGAGCCTGACCGGGGCTGCAAGAGAGCATGGCAAGCGTCCGCTGCAAGCTGGCACGCTACCTGGAGGACCTGGAGGATGCGGACCTCAAGAAATTCAAGATGCACTTGGAAGACTATCCTCCTCAGAAGGGCTGCACCCGACCCCCTCGGGGTCAGACAGAGAAAGCAGATCCTGTGGATCTGGCCACCCTGATGATCGACTTCAACGGGGAGGAGAAGGCGTGGGCCATGGCCGTGTGGATTTTTGCTGCGATCAACAGGAGAGACCTTCACGAGAAGGCTAAACTGGAAGAGCCGGAGTGGGGTGAGTGGGAGGAAGATGGCATTTTTTAACGGTGATAAAGTACATGTAGCATAAAATTTACTGTCTTAACTGTTTTTAGGTGTACAATTTGGTAGTCCTAAGCACATTCATGTTGTTGTGCAATCAATCTCCAGAACTCTTTTTCGTCTTGCAAAACTCTGCACCCATTAGACAATTCCTCATTCCCCCCTCCCCTCAGCCCGAGGCAGCCACCACTTTCTGTCTCTATAAATTTGGCTACTCTATGCACCTCATAAATGCAGTCATAAAGTACGTGTCTTTTTCTATCCGGCTTATTTCACTTAGTATAACATCCTCAAGCTTCATCTATGTTGTCTCATGTGACAGGATTTCATTCCTTTTTAAGGCTGAATAATATTCCATGGTATGTGTATACCATATTTTGTCATCCATTTATCCGTCAGTGGACATTCAGATTGCTTCTAGCTTCTGATTATGGTGAATAATGCTGCTATGAACATGGGTGTACAGATCTCTTTAAGACTCTGCTTTCATTTCATTTGAGTATAGTCCCACAAGTGGACTTAATGGATTACATGGTAATTCTGTGGTTACTGATGTTTTCCAGGGGCAGGCCTGGTGGTGTAGTGGTTGGGCTCACACGCTCTGCTTTGGTGGCCCAGGGTTGGCAGGTTTGGATGGTGGGCGTGGACATGCACATGGCTCATTGGGCCATTCTGTGGTGGTATCCTGCATACAAAGTGGAGGAAGATTGGCACAGATGTTGGCTTGGGGACAATCTTCCTCAAGCAAAAACTGGAAGATTGGCAACAGTTGTTAGCTCAGGGCCAATTGTCCTCACACACACACACAAACGTTTTGCATAGTGGCTCTACGATTTTACACTCCCACCAACAGTGTACAAGGGCTCTAATTTCTCCACATCATTGCCAACACTTATTTTATGGTTGTTTTTTTTGGAGAGTAGCCATCCTAACGGGTGTAAGATGGTAGCTCATTGTGGGTTTGATTTGCATTTCCCTGTTGACTGGTGACATTGAGTGTCTTTTCATGTGATTGTTGGCCATTCATTTACTTTTGGAGAAATGTCTCTTCAAGTCCTTTTCCCATGTTGTAATTGGGTTTCGTTGCAATTCTTGTTGAGTTGTAGGAGTTCTTCACATGTCCTGGATATGAACCCCTTGTCAGATGCATGATTTGCAAATATTTTTTCCCATTCTCTGTGTTCCTTTTCACTTTGTTGATGGTACCCTTTGATGCATCTAAATTGGTATGATTGGCTTTTAATAATTTCTTTTATTATCTTGGCCTCATCCTCTCTCTTCCTCTCATGATAGTGCTGTGAGAAGATGGAGGGAAGCACTTTGCTCTTTTCTGGTTCCTTTAAAACCCCACATCAGGGCTCACCCACCCCTGGGAACACCCCTGGTTAGTCCCACTTTATCCGAACCCCTCACCCAGCTCCTCGGGTATCTGCCTGCACAGCCACAAGCTTGGGTGTCTGCTTCCCATGGCTCAGGGGGCCGCCCCTCACCTCATAGAACTGTGTAATTTGTGGAGAAAAGGAATTCCCTCCCTCTCCGTGGGCATGGTGGGGGTCATGCTCTTCATTCTGCTTGGTGTTCTGAGCAAGGGAGGAAAACAAGGAAGGGCTCAGAAGGGTCTAGAACTCACAGGATGGGGATGTTGAGCTGGTGGTAAGGAGGAGTGAGAATGATTGGGTAGCCAAGAAGAATCTTGGTGAGGCAGGGCGGCAATATGGGTGTGATGACGGGGAGAAAAAGAGCCCGGGGGCAGAGGTGGGGGCGCACAGCAGTGAGGCGCTCTGGAGAAACTGCTGTAATAGCACGGTTAGAACCGTGTTGGGGCCTGCTGCTCATCAACCACCGTAGAGTGTGACCATCGTGGTTGCAAAAGTCATTTGCCAAGCAGTTTTATGAATTTCGTTCATTCCTCACACGAACCCCATGAGGCAGGCACTTTCAGATGAACTTTTAATTTCACGGTGCTAAGCGCAATAAACCAGTCACAAAAGAGAATGATTCCACTCATTGGCGGTGCCCGGCGCAGTCAGCTTCACGGAGACAGAAAGTGGCCGTTGCCAGGGGCGGGGGAATTGCTGTTCAATTGGTGTGGAGCTTCATTTTTGCAAGATGAGAAGCGTTGGGGAAACGGGCCGCCCGACAGTGTGAGATGGGCCTGGAACAGGTTCTGGTTGCCCCTGGGTCTGTCCTAGTTGGATCCCAGGCCAGGGCTCCACGCCACGTGTGTCTCTGGCAAAAGCCCGGCCCCTAACCCCAGCTGGGTCTCGAGGTAGAAGAGTTATCACCAGGGTTAGCAGGTTTTTGGGGAGGTTTTTGGGGGGGCTAGGGTCAGCTTTAGGTAAGAATTAGGCTATGGTTTTGGTGTGAGTTAATGTCTGGATTTTGTTTTGTGATTGGGTTGCCAATAGCACTTGCCCACGGAATAAGTAGACACCTCCCAGGAGCCCTTCCTGTCGCTCTTGGGCTCCCCTCCACCTGAGGTATCCTCTGTATTTCCCCTGTGCCAACTCCTGTTCTCCCGTGCCTAAATTTCTCCTACGGACGCGTCCTTGGGATGTGTGATTTCGTGACTGTTTATG